ACTTTCAATCTTCCTCAGAGTGCTCTGAGAGTCTGTGACAAAGACCACATGTGCTTGTCGAGTTGTTGTGACCCATTTGAGAGCCTGAGTCAGAGTGATTGCCTCTATCTCCATTCTCATGCTAGATGTTGTCATATCGTATTCTCTCTGCTGTTCCTGCACCAATCTGCCACTCACTCTTGCTGAGAAGCCCCATCCAGATTTTTCCTCTCGTTTAACAGATCCATCCGTGTATACAACCACATCTCCGTGCTGTTACGTTATCTAAGAGGCAGGACCTTCGAGTTTAACGTCCATCTCTGAAAGAATCGAGCCAAGTGAAAAAATTGTGTAAAGTGTCTTTCCCAAGAACACAACGTTGGACCGAGCTGAGACTCGAACCCCCGAACCCGCAATCTCCACAATTGCAGGTCCGGTAGCCAATACACGAAGCTACCGATGCCACTTCTGTGGTATAACATTAACGATTAGTCTCTTTGCTGTAGCACGCACAACAATTAAGTTCCATTCCCAGGCCTAAGTTATTTCATCCAGTGTTTCAATTTGTCTGTTTCTGGGTGCTGTTTCCCACTTAGCTCGGAATATTGCCCTGACAGTAGTGACAGGATGGGGTCGAAGCAGCCCACCCCGTGAAAGGTCTAATAGTTTTTACTGTTGATGCGTGGGTCAGACTTTATCTATCTATCTATCTATCTATCTATCTATCTATCTATCTATCTATCTATCTATCTGTCTATCTGTCTGTCTATCTCATGTCTTCTATTTCTTTTTATAATACATGTATGAGGCTCAGAATGTGAACCATAAGGACACGTATTTTAGCTGAATTATTAAACTATGCGGTAGTGCATCTGTTTATTTCGGAATAGTATGTCAATTTCGTTCTGTGCGTGAAATATGGCGTCGCTGACGTCACTCGCACTGCATGTCATGACCTTGTCATGCTCAGATACCAGGTAGACCTTGATCTAATCATCTAATCACTCTTGATCTCTTCCGTTTGGCACAGATCCATGTTTGTTTTTATGTTTTTGATGACCGAGGACGAATTAACTACAATTTATTATAACACCTATAGCGGTGTTTCTACCGCCGAACTCGCAATACTGCCATGATATGCATCAGTTCTATGAGTCACATAATGAGGTCTGGGAAGAATGTCCGATGAGAATTAATTGAAAACGAGGTTAGAGAGAGAGAGAGAGAGAGAGAGAGAGAGAGAGAGAGAGAGAGAGAGAGAGAGAGAGAGAGAGAATCGTTCTTCTTTCTTTGGGCTTAAAATTTTGGGTTGTCGAAATTGACCAAGAAATAGAGCGTTCGTTAATTTTTAAAGTAAATTTATACGACGAAAAGGAAGGTCGTGCGATGGAGTTGGAACTTGGATAATTCATCCAAGGGAACACAAAAATTCAGCCGTGAAGCGATCTCGACCAAACAAAAGTACGTTGAAAATTCATTTCTCGGTCTATTGTAATAGGCCTACCTGACCGTATTTTTAACTCACAAGATGAGTTGAGTTTTTTTTATTTGACGAAATAGATGGGTATTGAATGAAAGCCCGGCTGTTACAACTAACATGTACATTATCAATAATATGGAGAAATAAATATCTTGCGCACACAGTACCGCAGCGGAAACGGGCTCTTTGGAAGCAGTATCCTTTTCTTAGAATATAGTTGTGTTTTACCCCGATTATTTTGTAAAGTATTTTTATAACAAATGAATTTTTTAAAACGTAATATGTGTGCTATTTTTAGATGGCTATCTCCCTTTTCTAGGATTTTTGGAGAAACAGACAGTGAGACGGGCCGAAATGCACAAAGATAGACATACATTACCATACAGACATGCAGAGGGTGAAGGAATCGACACTAGAAACTGTTTGCCAGTAACAGGAAAAGGGTCAAGCTTTAAAAAATCAAGCTAACATAATTTTATAGACATGAGAGAGAGAGAGAAGTTAAACAGACTAACTATACTTGTTTTGCGACACCATGCAGAAATCCAATCACAGAATTATATTTGTGCGCACGTGCGTGTGGGTGTACCTGTGTATGGG